TTTTTGACCAGACCCATTTATTGGTCCTTTTGATGATAGGCCTATGGAATCGGGCCTAAAGCCCTTCCCACTTAAAAAACTGTTTAGCAGATTTCTTTCTTCAGTTGGGCTTTTAAGTGTTGGCCCAACTCGTCCACTACTTTCAGGCCCTTTTTTTCTCATTACAAGGGCCGAAACTTCACTAGGCCCTTTACCTTTCTCCCAGACGGCGGGTTTCCTCCCGTCGAACTTCAGAGAAGACCTCGCGAAGGGACGACAGTGGTCGGCCAAGTACGCGACCTCTGATGTCGTCGAGGTCTCGATTTAAGCCAGCAAGGAACTCATATACCCATTCATTTCAAGCTTCTTCTTGTACCGTAAGCTGTCGTCTCCACACTTCCACTCTTTATCGCTGTTGAGATCGAGTTCCTGCCAAAGTGAGGTCATCTCCATGAAGTAATTGGTCACTTCCCTGGTTCCCTACTTCGTTTGCCATCGACGAGTCTTGATTTTGAAAATATAGGATGAGTCCTCTGTGTCGGAGTACGTGTCGTGCACCGCTTCTTTTGCAGTAGACAGAAAGAGAAACGTCTTTCCTATAGCTGGTTTTATGGAGTTAACCAGCCACGCGATGACCATGGAATTTTTAGAATTCCATCGTTGAAATAGTGCAGCCTCCGTTGGTCTTTTCGAATCGCCAGTAAGATAACCCAGTTTCCCTTTTCCATCAATCACCAATTTTATTGATTGGGCCCATTCATAGTTATTTTTTCCGTTTAATTTTTCAACTGTGAGCTGAAACGACGAGTTCTTGAGACTGTGGGAACCGACTGTGGGAACCAATTGTGGAGTTAACCTCTATTTCGATTTGAGGAGCGTTGGAGTTGACTGATCGTGAGTTGTTGACGGGAAATTTGGCCATAGGTTGCTAGGTTTAGACGCCTAAGGCTCTGATACCATGAACGAAACGAGAATAATAATGTTCTCATTCAATTATCTAGACATTACAGCTTATACGCCCTTTTATAATACATTGATGGAACTAAAAAAAGAAAAGAATAAAGAGAAAATAAGTTATACCTATAATCTGTCAATTTACACGACCATGGAAAGATTTTAATCTCCTTCCATATATACGATTTCCTACAGCCGGGCAAAGCTAGTTGTCGTCGCATCCCTTGGGCTAGGATGGAGGGGGAACATACTGAGCTGAAGGGGTTGTTTCTTGAGTCCTTTGATGAGTGGGAATTTGTTGGCCACCATTGGCTGATGACTGAAAACTTGGCCAGATTGCACAAAGATTGTAATACAGGGAAAAAAATACATTATATGTTTTCATTTCATTTGGACATATGGTTAGGTGATTATCACTTCTTTTCATTTTGATAGCACTTTTAACACTATATTATGTGATTATTTATCCATGTTTTCTATATATAAATGTGTGTGTGATCCGCGTGCATTGGAGTTCATTTTTGCAGTGTGCAGTTTGAGTGCTCATGTTCATTGTAAAAAGTTGCAGTGTTCTAATATTTTACTTATTGTACCATTTTACTAGAAATGTTACACACAATCAACTGAACTCAAAGGTTTCGAAATATTTTTGTGAACCAAAAAAATGGTGCAAGTCTGGTGCATTGAAATACAGCACTTGATTTGTAGAATGGAAGTTGAAAAAAAATCAATTCAAAGTAACCTTTGTCTCTAAACATCCTAAATCTTTTGCCTTACTAATCCCTACATAAAATAGATAAACTTTTGTGTCAAATGTTTCCTTTCCCTTGTCTACCAAAAAGAGTGAGACTGGACAAATTCAACCCAAGAAGAAAAATTTAAGGTAAATGGAACAAGGGGAAAATCTTAAAAAGATAAAATTTGAAGTGAACTTCAAGAATAACTATTTAAGCTTCATCAAGCCCTAAATCATGTAACAAATAAAAAACACTCAATTTAAAGCTCAAATGAAGCAATATTCAAAGTAAGTAGTCACAGATGGCGGCAAGTGGGCCGTGCCAAACCTCTTTTGGTGGAGGGAAGTTGAGATAGAAATCACGGCCATTACGTGCAATATCAATGGTTTCTGCCACCCAATTGGAAAACATTCCGCCATTTGATGTAGGGTTTGGTTGATTATAATGCACTTTTCAACACAATTTCTTTAACATTTGCATTTAACTTACTAGTGCAATCACACATGGAAGACTTGTGTTAGAAAAAAGAAACGTGGCACATTTTTTTTTTATTAATCTTCATATGCATTAACGGTTGATGGCTTCTCCTTTTCATGTTCATGCTCGTCTTATTTACATATTCCAATTCAGCAGCAATGCTCCACTGGTGTGGCTTTTTGAAGATTTTTGTTTTAGCTTTCCCCGTCAACATGGTGGGAAGTTCAAATTGAGACAACTTCTTTGTGCTTGTGGACTTATCACTAGCAGAAATAACCCTTTCAAATCGTAAATATCCCTTTGGATTTCCAAATGAAATTGTTTGGGTTGCCGTGCTCACTGTTGTCATCCAGTTTCTGACTTTCTCACTGTTCTCCTTCTACCCATTTATAAGCCTCTTTTTGTTGGATTCTCTGAAACTGAGGGAGTATCAGTTTTATCTGGGGCTATGCTATTCTTTTGCAGAGCCTCCTTCGTCCTTGCCACATATACTGCCTTTTTGGACCTCTTTTGAGACTATCACCAACTTACCCTCATGTCTCTTTCTCTCTTTAAAAAACACTGAATTCTCATCTATTTAATTGAGCACACATCTATACTACCAAATGTTTACCCCATTTATGAGTTTGTTGAAAGGTAAAATTCTTTTCCGATATCAGCTATTTTTTTAGGCCTTCTGTTACTAGATGATAGAGATTTGAGTTTCATTTTTGTTTAATAGTTTCTGAGTTTTGGTTATGTGAGCACATATCAGAACGTGAAGGCACCAAACCATGCATTTGATTGAGTTTATGAGCATAGTTTGGTGATTATCACTTCTTTTCGTTTTGGAAGAGCTTTCACACTATATTATGAGATTATTCATTCGTGTTTTCTATGTATAAATGAGTGTGTGAGATGAGTGCACTGGAGTTCATTTTTGCTGTGTACGGTTTGAGTGCTTATGGTAATTGTAAAAAGTAGCAATGTTTGAACATGTTGGAAAAGTAGCCATGCAGTAAGAACGTTAAAATTGAAATTATATAACATGTTCATGGATGTACATATTATTATTTCACTTCAACTAACAGTAGATAAATAAATTTCTTACACCCTTAAATCATTAACTTGCAAATTGAAAAATATCATCCAAAATTTTGATAAATCAAAAGACATTTATACGTGCTGCTATATATAAAAGAAACTTTTCTACTTGATAAATTTAAAATACTATAACGTATACCCAAATTTATTTTAGTTTTAAACAAGTATATACATGAAATGAACCTGTTACATCTCAATAATGACATCAATGGTCTAAATTCTCAATCACTTTTGAGGAGACATGTCCATCCTTCTACAATTCACAATCCTATTTGTGCCTGTGCAGCTGCCAGTATATAACCAATGCGAAATAGTTGACCGTAAAACTTGAGAAAGTTAATCTATTTGAGTAATTCACCTCGTATAGGGATATAACTGCCAAGCACTGTACAGGTGTAGCAGCAACTGTACGGTGGTCCTTTTTTACTTTTTTTTTGCCAACACTCAATGAAAATACGCCAAGTGTCCCCTGTAATTCCCCCGACAGTTTTTCCTATACACAGCACTGTTCAATCTATTTAATAAGTTTAGTGATAGATATTGTATACTGTCAGGAATACTTCTAGGCATTGGAAAGAAAAGGTTTATGAATACTTGACGTGTGACATTAGAGGTTGGTGTTGTCGAGTCTGAATTTCTAGTTGACTTTCATGAAATATAGTGGGTTTTTACATATTAGACTACTTATTTTTTGCACGTCTTGTTTATTTAGCATCGTTTTTGGAGGGAGAAAATAATATCATAATTTGCACTACTCTTACTCTTAATCATAATCAATGTGTGAGCTTTTCCATATCGCTCCTTATTTTTTTTTTATCTTTTATCCCAATTTCTTATCTAAAGCAAAATGCATATTAAATTATAATTAACACAATAATTCTCAATTAGATCATATCAAAGTAAAAAAAAAAAAATCAAGTTTCCTAGTTTAAAAAATTTTTAAGCAAAATTTAGTCCACTCTATATATCCTACGTGAGAGGCCATAGACAAAGTTACCTAAGTAATTTGACCCTAATAGAGCATTTACAATCAAGGGTGAGTACTGACTTCATGAAAAAGTTGAGCTATCTCAACTAGTTAGTTTTGGCAAAGTTTAGCGGACTCTCAGTTCATCTTTTTATTAATTAATCATACGGTGCATTTATAAATGAGTACAATTCACGTGCATTAGAGGTATTTTTTGTTGCTTTGTGCAATTTGAGTGCTTCTTACCATGTCTTGGCAAGAAGTAGCTTGTTATGTAATTTTTCATTTTGTCATATATCCACGAGTGTACTTGTGTGTCCTTCAGATGCTTGAACATAAATAACATGAATATGGTTATGTATTCATACATTGCATGTATAAATGTGTGTAATTCTTGTGCATTAAAGGTTTTTATTTTTTATTGATGATACATTTTGAATACTTCTTTCCAAGTTCATAATAGAAAGTAGCCTGTTAAGTAATTTTACATTTAACCGAGTGTGCACGCTTGTGTTTTAGTCAAGGAAAGGTTGGATTGGCTCCAAAATTCAAACACCTCAATAATATACCAATATCCCCTATTTAGGTACTTTAAATGTTGTAATGCACTTAATTGAGTTCAATCTGTATCAGTGATAAATTATTTTGAGTTCTTGTCGCATTTCTTTCAGGGACTGGTATAATCTCGAGAAACCAAAAAAAGTAAAAGCTTTTCATTGTGGGGAGTATGATTCATGCATTGAGAAAGCTAAGTTGTTCGCATCGACTTCATCTTAGAAGATGGGGAAATATGTCTCGCAGAGATGACCCCATTGTTCATGTACTTGAGCTTGAAAGTGCTTGCATTCGAAAATACCACTCGTACTCCTCAAGTAGGGTATATACACAAGGCAGAGTCCTCGGGAGCATCATGATGTTGATGAATCACCAAGTTCATTTGATTATAGTGAAGCAAGTAAAAAAATTTGACAAGGATTTCAATATTTCAGAAGATGATTTAAGATTTAGCATATAAACTGTTAACATCAATTGTATCATTCGAAGAGCTAGAGCGTGCAGGACAATCTAAGAAACAATCTAGTTCGTTGAGAATCGCAAAATGATTCGAAGGGTAACATGGTGGTAGTAAGAAGAATAAGATGACTCGAGGAGTGGTTTCATTACATACATCTCCTTCAAATGATTGCACATAAATAACATGAATACGATTTTTGTATTCATACATTGCATATATAAATGCGTGAAATTCACGTGCATTAGAGGTTTTATTTGTTGATGAGTGCATCTTTCCATGTTCATAGTAGAAAGTAGCATGTTAAGTATGTTTTTTTTTCATTTAACAGAAGTTGCTATAAAATGTAGAACACGAGTAGGTGCAAACCAATATATTCATTGCATGTGCACGCTTCTGTGTTAGTCAAGAAAATGTTGGATAGGCTCTAAACTTCAAATACCTCAAAATTAATACCAATTTCCCCTATATAGATACTTTGAATGACGTAATGCACTTCCTTCAGTTAATATGTATCAATGATAATTTGATTTGAGTTCTTGTCAAATTTCTTTAAGGTACTGGTATAATCTCTAGTCTAGAAATCAAAAAGAGTAAAAGCTTTTCATTGCAGGGAGTATGATTCATGCATTGAGAAAACTAAGTTGTCTACATCTGCTTCATCTAAGAAGATGGGGAAATATGCTCGCAGAGATGACGCCATTGTTCATGCGCTTGAACTTGCAAGTGCTTGCATTCGAAAAGACCACCGGTACTTCTCAAGTAGGACACATACACATGCGGGGTCCATGGGAGCATCTTGATGTTGATAAATCATCAAGTTCATTGAAGAAATTAAAGATTTTGATAAGGATTCAAATATTTCACGAGATGATCTAGTTTCGGATTAGGAACTATATGCATCTATTGTACTATCATGCAGGTCAGGGTAACAAGCAATCTAGGTCGTTTAGAACTCCAAATGATTTGAAGGATGTTAGGATGGTAGTGAGGGGAATGAGATGAATAGAGGAACTGGGGTGGTTCTAGTAACATACATCTCTTTCAAGAGACACCATTGATGCACTTATTGCATGACACTAAGGTCTTGATGGATGACGATTGGAATCTATAGAGAATTGCTGGCAGGATTGTGGAGATAGTGCCTGATGGGTGTCTGGTTCCTTGGAAGTGGGATGGGAAAGCACTGCAAATTTTTGGCAATTTTAAGAGGATTTTGATGATTACGGACGTGAATATAATGAAAATTGGCAGCAGCTTCTGGAGTCATGTACCGGGCAAAGCTGGCTGTGGTCACATCCCTTGGGCTAGGGTGGAGGGGGGACATACTGAGCTGAAGGGGCTGTTTTTTGAGTCATTTGATGAGTGGGAATTTGTTGGCCACCGTTGGCTGATGACTGATACCATGGCCAGAAGGAAAAAATAACTTGTATGGTTTCATTTCATTTGGACATTGGGTTAGGTGATTATCACTTCTTTTCATCTTGATAGCACTTTTAACACTATATTATGTGATTATTTATCCATGTTTTCTATGTATAAATGTGTGTGCGATCCGCTGCATTGGATTTCTGCAGTATGTAGTTTGAGTGCTCATGTTCATTGTAAAAAAGTTGTGGTGTTCTAATATTTCACTTATTGTACAATTTTACACAAGATCAACTGAAGTCAAAGGTTTCGAAATATTTTTGTGAACCAAAAAAATGATACAAGTCTGGTGCATTGAAATATAGCACCTGATTTGCAGAATGGAAGTTGAAAATCAAAAAAATTCAATTCAAATTAACCTTAGTCTCTGAACATCCTAAATCTTTTGCATTACTAATCCCTGCATAAAACAGATAAACTTTTGTTTCAAATGTTTCCTTTCCCTTGTCTACCAAAACTAGTGAGTTCGAACAAATTCAACCCAATAAGAAAAATTTAAGGTAAATGGAATAGGGGGAAAATCTTGAAAAGGTAAAATTTGAAGTGAACTTCGAGAATGACTACTTAAACTCCATCAAGCCCTAAATCATGTAACAAATAAAAAACACTCAATTTAAAGCTCAAATGAAGAAATATTCAAAGTAAGTAGTCACAGATGGCGGCTAGTGGGTCGTGTCAAACCTCTTTTGGTGGAGGGAAGATGAGATAGAAATCATGGCCATTACGGGAAATATCAATGATTTCTGCCACCCAGTGGGAGAGCATTCCGCCGTTTGATGTGGGGTTGGTCGATTATAATGCACTCATCAGCACAATTTCTTTAACATTTGCATTTAACTTACTAGTGCAATCACACATGGAAGACTTGTGCTAGAACAAAGAAACGTAGCACTTTTTTTTTTTTATATTAATCTTCATATGCATTAACGGATGATGGCTTCTTCTTTTCATGTTCATGCTCGTCTTTTTTGCAGATTCCACTTCAGCAGCAATGCTCAACTGATGTAGCTTCTTGAAGATTTTTCTTGTAGCTTTTCTCGTTAGCGTGGTGGGAGGTTTAGATTGAGAATACTTCTTTGTGCTTTTGGACTTGTCACTAGCATAAATAACTCTTTCTACTCCCAAATATCCCTTAAGATTTCCAGGTAAAATTGTGTGGGTTGCCCTGCTCACTGTTATCAATTGGTTTCTAACTTTTGCACTGTTCCTCTTCTGCCCATCTATAAGCCTCTTTTTGTTAGATTCTCTGAAGCTGAGGGAGTATCAATTTTATCTGGGCTATGCTATTCTTTTGCAGAGCCTCTTTAGTCCCCGCCCCAAATACCGCCTCTTTGGACCTCTTTTTAGACTATCACCAACTTACCCGCAAGAGGGCCTCATATATGCCTATCTCTCTCTAAAAAACACTGAATTCTCATCTACATAATTGAGCACACATATACTACCAGATGTTTACCCCATTTATGAGTTTACTGAAAGGTAAAATTCTTTTCTGATATTAGCTCTTCTTTTTTAAGCCTTCCGTTACTGGATGATAAGGATTTGAGTTTCGTTTTTGTTTAATAGTTGATGAGTTTTTGGTTATGTGATCGCATATCATAACGTGAAGGCACCTAACTGTGCGTTTGATTAAGTGTTGATTTTATGAGCATGGTTTGGTGATTACCACTTCTTTTCGTTTTGAAAGAACTTTAACACTATATTATGTGGTTATTCATTCATGTTTTCTGTGTATAAATTTGTGTGCGATGTGCGTGCTTTGGAGTTCATTTTTGCTATGTACAGTTTGAGTGCTTATCGTAATTGTAAAAAGGAGAAATGTTTTAACGTGTTGAAAAAGTAGCCATTGAGTAAGGTTGTTAAAATTGAAACTATGTAACATGTTAGTGGAAGTACATATTATTTCATTTCAAACAATAGTAAATAAATAAACTTTTTACACCGCTAAATCATTAATTTGTAAATTGAAAACTATCATCCGTAATTTTGACAAATCAAAAAACATTTATACGTGCTGCTATATATAAAAGAAATTTTTCTCCTTGATATATTTAAAATACTATAACGTATACCCAAATTTCTGTTAGTTTTAAACAAGTGTATATGAAATGAACCTTGTACCTGGTATTTCTCAATAATGACATAAGTGGTCTAAATTCTCAATCATGTTCGAGGAGATAACTTTGTCTCCATCCTTTTGCAATTCATAATCCTATTTGTGTTTATGCGACTGCTAGTATATAACCAATGGGAAACGGTTGACCGTGAAACCTGAGAAAGTCAATCTATTTGAGTTATTCACCTTGTATAGGGGAATAACTGCCAAGCAGGTGGTGTTTTTTTTTTTTTTGCCTTTTTGCCAACACTCAATGAAAATATGCCAAGTGCCCCCCTGTAATTCCCGTGACAGTTTTTCTTATACACATAGCACAACTCAATTTATTTAATAATTTTAGTTATAGATATTGTATATTGTTGGGAATATTTTTAGGCATTGGAAGATCGGTAACATATCTCTACAGTAAAAGGTTTATGAATACTTGACTGTGACATCAGAGGTTGATTTTATCGAGTCTGAATTTTTAGTTGACTTTCTTGAAATATAGAGAGGTTTTCCATATTAGACTGCTTATTTTTTGCACGTTTGTTTATTTAGCATTGTTTTTCGAGTGAGAAAATAATATCATAATTTGCACTACTCTTAATCAATGCGTTCCTTTTTTTTTTTTTTTTTATCTTTTCCAAATTTTTGTAATACCCCAAATTTTCATAAACACTAGGGTGTACCACGAATCTTTCTTTTCTTTACAATAAATACAAAACGATAAAAAAATAAATTTCTTTAAAATAAAGTAACTGGAATATCCATAAATTTAAACTAAAACATGAAAATCGTATCTAGAAATAAAAAATCACCTAACTAATTACATAACATGTCTTTGAACGAATTAGATTAACTAATTAATTTAAATACACAAAAACTTAATGTTTATTTTTCTTCGATCTACTTGACAGCCCGCATCACCATCCTGCCACAAATACAATCAACCATAACTAACCTTTAAAATTATTGTAAGAGCGAATATTTAAAAATATATCCAGCAAGATACGTGCAGTTTTATGCACAATTATATAACAATCAATTGAAACACTTCACATCACTCTTCTCTTATGGAGTATATCGGCGATCAACCGACACACTCATCTTGGGCCATCTTAATTTCTCGAAAGATTTCATATTTCTTTATAAATAACCCGATAGTCCACAGACAATTCATGCATAAATGACCGAATACATAAAGGTATATGAAAACAAACAACTTGTATATAAGTATCTTACCTTGTCATTGAAAGATTGAAAAGAAGATAAAATCTTATACATAAAAATTCTCCTATTATTTTCTACACTTTTTCCTTTCCTACTCTCTCTCTGCCATGGCTCTCTATTTTCTGTGATGAAATAATGGGAATTCTTATAGTATTTATAGTTGAAATTCACTGTTGAGTTTGTATACAACTAGAATTGGAAAATCGTTTCATTCAAGGAATTTGGATAAGAATATGTTTCAAATAATAGAATTATGATTACATCACATTAATGGTTTTCTTAATTAAAATACTGAACCAATCCTTTTCATCTAATTGGATTTATATCAAAATAGAACACGTGGAAATTAATTTGAATTCGGTTCCATTTGACTTGGTATACTAGTGATAGAATTTGCAGTAATGAAGTCTTAATCAAATTAGGATTAAACTCTATCAAAATCAAAATATGAGTAATATTAACCTTAATCTAAATTAAAATAGGAGATTAACTTATCAAAATCAACATTTATCCTATACACATGTGGCTTCCATAAAAATTAAATCATAAACCAACTCAATTAATTTCAAATTAACCCGTTTGGTACACATTTTTTCCCCAAGAATACATTTTTTATGTGATGGGGAATATGTGGTTAAAAAAAAGAAAAAATTATTGATGTGATGGAAAATATTATATTATTAAAAAATGTGTGGTTGAAAATGAGTAGAAAAATGAGAGTGAAAAAATAATGTGGCTTAAACAAGGGGTTAAGGATAACTTTTTTTTGAACTTTAATAACATGGGCTTAAATTATCCTAAGGGAAAAAATTCATATATAAGAATTTAACTATGACTCATTTGAAAACTAAAAAAATAAGGATTAAAATTTTAAAAATCAGATGTTACTAAATTTTATTTATGAATCAATTAATTAAAAAATATATTTTATTAATTAAATACATCAAGTTCACAAATCCATATAATTTGATCACAAATTATCAAATTAATTGGTTACAAATTATTTTTCGATTACAAATAAAAAATTCTATAGGTCACAAATCAAAAATTTTACGTTACAAATTATTCATTAATCACAAAATCAAAGTTTTTATTAGTCACAACTGATTTATGAGTCACAAATTATCAAATAATTGGTCATAATTAATTTCTCGACCACAACTTAATAGGTTGTGACTCACAATCACATTTTTAAGTCACATATTATTTATTTGTTACAAATTAACAAATTATTGGTCACAATCAACCAAATAACTGGTCACAAACACCGGCATCCCATCCCATCTACCCATGACCATCGCCACGACCACATCTACCTCACCAAACCATGCAAAACCACCACCACAGCAACCACCACATACCATATCAACGCAAATGCACCACCACAGCAACGCAAAATGACTACCATAATAACCACAACACCACCCCACACCAAACTCTGGTACCATCATCACTGCCAGGTCGTTGCATCACCAAACACCCCGACACCAGATCACAGGTGCCTCGACGATAAGAGCGTACTCCGCTATGGGCAGCGCTCTTATCTCGTCGCGCACAGTGGCAAAATGCTCTGAGCTTGCTGCTACGCGTAACGAGATCATAGCGCCGCGCACAGCAGCCGCCCGATTGACACTCTACGAGGAGAACTCAAGCGTCGTTAAGTGGCAAAC